TAAAAAATGTATCATAAAAAAAATTATGTATTTAATAACTTTAAAAACAAATAAAGAATTTTTAAGCTGAGCTATATAAAACAATAACGCTTCCTTTTAAATAAAAGTTACAGAAATAATAATATAAAAATGTGGGATTTTGAAATTTATAATAAAATGAATAACACGACATATCATAAATTGAGCAAGTATTTGTATGAATATCCTACTTACATAATATATTATATGTAATATACAAGAATACATACTCCTATAATAAACAATTTGAATTTCAGTAAAACACACATTTTCAATAATTAAAATATTACAAGCATAAAACAAGAAAAATTAAACAAATAACGCAAAATAATGTAGGAATTAGTACTTTTTATATCACTACACTTTTATATATACACAATTTCATTTGATCTTACATTGAGGTAATAAAAGGTATTTTTATACTTTTTTAATATGGCACGCGACAATCACTTGTAGTTATCATAATGGGTGCTTGATTAGACTTTTTTAAACCGAGAAAATCTAAAAATACTTCATTGGATTTTGTGACTATACCGAATGTGTCCCCAACATTTTTTAATAACATGAGATCGCTTAATTTAATGTGTGCATCATTTTCTTCATTTTTCTTTGAATCTAAATTCTTTAAGTTTATGTTCGATAGAGTAGAAATATTTTTTTTCGATTGAGTTTCAGCTTTTTCTAAATCAAGTGCATGTTGCGCTTGTATCTGACCCAATTTTGCTGCTCTGGTGAAATAAGTGCGCGCAATATCAATATCAATTGATAAACCGCCCCTTCCTTGGGCATGAAAAACTCCCAAATTATATAATGCATCGGCATGATCATGGGCCGCGGCATCATTGTAATATTTTGCAGCCTGCAGGCAAATTATATTTTTTTATATTTTTTAATTTCATATAAATGTCTAAATTATCTTTTTTTATCTTTGTGCAAAGATAAAAAAAAAAGATCGAAAAGATTCAAGTAAATGAAGTATTTAAAGTTGTTTCTTGCATTTCTGAATTTTTGATATTATTTAGATGTACCTTTGCTTGGTCTGCCAAAGTTCCAATGCCTAATTCGTAACATAGACCTAAATTGAACATGCTTCCGGGAGATGATAATTTAGCACCCGCAGAGAAATGTATTAAAGCATCTGCATAACGTTTTTCTTCTAAAGCTTTAATACCAAAACGAAGTTCATATTCTCCTATTACTATATTATGAGTTTTTGTAAATTCATCAGAAGCTTCTTTGAATGCCTAAGGATATAGAAAATTGATAAAATCTATATGTATAAATATAAATTTTTATACTTAGTCTCCTTACACATAGAAAATTAAACATTTAAATTTATTTAATTAAATAAATTTTTAAGGAGGTTAAGAACATAAAACACATGTATTAATATTTACGCTTTAAACAAATTACATACATGTGAAAGTTCCTAATATTCTGTTTTTATAGAGCAACACATTTTTATATATTTTTTATTTTATTTGATTTTAGTTTTATTATTATAAGCAAAAATTTTAAAAATAACAAAAATTTTAATTTTTTTATATAAATATTTTAAATACTAAAAATGACTTTTGCAAAGTTTCATTGAGATTCACAATTAGTTTATAACAAATGAATATTTTGTTTATTTATTGAACAATTAATGTCTGCATCTCAATATAACTTTACACAAATATTTTTGAATTCATAAAAACTTATATTAAAAAATTGAGATTTTTATCATTATTTTATAATACATTTTCATATATTTCTATTAGAGTACAAATTTAAAAAAATATTACTTTTTATTGAAATAACTTTTAATCCAGATGATCAACTGTTTTTAATTTTTTTGTATTACTTTTAAATGCAATTTAGAATAATTTTTTCAAATAATTCTTAACATATTGCATTTGCCTTACAGTCTCCTTAAAAGAAATTTAAGAAAAAACAGAAGAGAAAAAATAAATGTATAAGACATCATTCATTTATTCTATAATTTTTGGAACGTACTTCGTCAAATATACATTTAATATAAATTATATCTTATTTACAAAAGATACAAAAATAACAAGTAACATGAATGATAATGTATGTGAATATTAATTATCTATTATTTGCACAAGTTATAAAGATAATATTACAATAAGTATAATATATATCGAAATAAGTAAATAAATGTTTGCTGAAAATATCTTCAAGTTTCTCAGAGAATAAATAAGTGCATTCTATATATTTATTTAGTAATCACAGAATCAATATAAAAGACAGCAATAATGAATTATAATAAATCATTTTTGCATAAAATATTATATTACTTTTTGAAAAAATTATTTAAAAGAAATATAGACTGTTATAATTTCTATCTTAATTCAATTTTCGCTTATGTATCATTACAAAGTATAATGTCTGCAAAATAACATCCTCACCTCTTCAATGGTGATAGGACCAAATGGTTTTTCTGCAGTCCATTGTGAGTTTGAATCCTGCAGGTTAGAGATTTTTTTGCTAGTACCGACACAATTGGTAACTGGCAAGATTTGTCTTGGATGTAAATTTAATAATTGCGTAAGTATAAATGAAACTCCAGAGTAATCATGCAATTTGTTTTTCAAGGTCTCAGCGCTATCTCTGTTAAAGATTCTATTGCGGAGACAAAGTGTTTGGCATACAACCCATCCAGCTGCTAGTACACTAGACTAATAAAATATAAATTACACATTAATAACAAAGACCTTTTTAATATAGCCAAGAAATGTTGTATAACATCGCAACAAGTTCTTATTTGAAGACATTTATTTACCCAGCCAACAGCTTCTGTCCAACTGTGCTTGGTATTCCAATCAGAATCACGTCTGTTGTTCTTAGCACCGGCATTTTTAGTCGATCCGCAAAAACCTTTATCATAAGTGATAAAAACTGGTGGAAGAAATTTTTGTTGGCACGTCAGGCTTGTTTTGACTTCGTTCTTCGCATTATCTTGCGATGACTGCGAATAAACGTTGGTGCGACAAACTCGTCGCTCCAATGTTTCTCGAATTCCACGAAATACAACTTTCCACATTTTTTTCTTCTTTTTATAAATATTATAAAGAAATGTATTTTATGTGAGTGAATACTCAGCTATAAAATCGAGGTAAAGACAGATAAAGACACCTTTACTACTCTCTACTAAGAGAGATCTGCGCTGATCTCCGACATGCGCTACATTAAAAGAAAATGCACTTTGAAGCATAAATCAAAGAAAACAGACAGATCCTTTTCATACCAAATAGTAGGCTATTATTCGGCTGTGTTCCAAAATTCACTACCAGCGCTGAAAATCTACAATTTATGTTACATATATTATACATTTTCAGTACACATTGGCAGTGAATTTTGGAATACAACTTTTGATGGCTGTGTGTTCAGCAGAAAAAATAGCATTGCAACTGTGTAAAATTATTCAATATGATTGGTTTATGCACTTAAATCCAGTGAGGAACTAAGAACAAAACCAATTATATTAAAAAATTTTACAATAATTGTAAAGCTGTCTTCTTTGCTGGATATCAATTGCTGGATATGAAACTTTATTTCTAGGGTGAAGAGTAAAAATTGTTACCATTGAAGTTAATGGAAAAAATTTTCACTTTTCATCCTCAAGAAAAAAGTTTCATGATCGATATCCTGAACGCAGCCATAGTCCGTTCTTATTTTATAAATCCGTAATCTTTTATTAAGGTAAAAAGCTGACTTAGGCCCTGCGCATAATGGAAGAAACGTTAGGGCTATGTTCCAAAACTTCCTCTCCGTGGAAGATTTTACTCTATATGCTATAGTATACGTAATGTGTACTATATTTAATACTATATATTTCGAGCAAAATTTTCCTCGGAAAGATAGTGGAATGTAGCCTAGGAATAGGAATTAAGATTTCAACCTATCAGAAACCGTGTATTCCGGTATCTGATTGGTTAAAATCTTAATATTTATTCTTGTTCCTAATATTTGTATTATCGCAGGCTAATCTTAAGACAGTGTTTTAGGTCCTGCGCACAACAGAAGAAATAAGGAATTAGAAATAAAGAATAAACGATTTTAACCTATTAGAAATCAGATACAACGGAATACACACAGCTTCTGACAGATTAAAATCATGTTCCTTATTCTTAATTCCTTATTCCTGCTGTTGTGCATAGACTTATGACTCCTTATGACTTAAGTCTTATATCTTTAATAAGCCCTTTAATAATCTACAATCGATTTTTAAGCCTTAAGGCATAAGGAATGGAAATCACAATCAACTATTCTCCTCCGTATTCGATTTGTAGTTGGTCAATTTCTTACGGCTTAAGGTTTAAAATACCTATTGTAGATCCAGACTAAGACGCACAAGAACTATGTTACGATTTATGTCTTAAGCCGGTTTTACATTAGTTGCAAGCTGATCGCAAGTTTGTTGCGACAGTTAATCTGAAGCTTGCATTTTGAAATCACCTCTTCATATTGGTATTCATAGTTGCAACAAATTTGCGATCAGGGGATCGATTTTGTATATTCAAACAAGGTGAAAATTACAAAAGCAAGCAAATTTACTAGATTGACCAATGAAATAATCAGTATTCTAGTAAATTCGCATTTTTATAATTTTCACCTCAAGATACAGAATCGATCCCCAGCTGGCAACTAATATAGAACCGATTTTAAAGATATATAAATATCTTCATACCTGGTTTATGCTTCGATCTAGGGCTGTCACACGCAAAATTGCGCAACAGTGACCGTAAGACGTTAACTTAAACTCATGAGCCAATCAGAATATTGCTTTAGATCTAATGGAAATGGAAATAACAGTAAATTTATCCATAACCTCGCCACCAATAAGGCGAATATAAACAGATCGAAATTAACCTTATGAATAAATTTACTGCTATTTCTATTTCCATTAGAGTATGTAGATCTAAAGCAGTATCCTGATAGGTTCATTGGCTTAAGTTCACGTCTTCGGGTATCCATATAAATTTGTATAGCCGCATAAAGAAAAATTGTATATGCATATAGAAAATTATCCAACCGCATTTCCCTTATAAAGTCGCACGTAAAATGATTGGATAATTTTCGTTATGCATACGTTTATGCGGCTATGCAAATTTATATTGAATATACTCATAAGGTTACTATTACAGAAATTTTGTTTGTAGTCCTAACTACTGAATCACTGACAAGATACTATTAAAGTCGTCCCAATTTTCGTGATTATCAGGGAGAGAGGGGGGGGGGGGAGCGAAGATAATTAAAGAACAATGACAATTAACAAAAATTTATGATCATTAATATAAATATTTCGATAATATATTATTAAATTCGTGATTTTTTATTATATAAATGCTATATAAATAAGTAAGCATACTTTTAATGCTACAATATCTTATAATGATTTTGGATGGGATGCACTGATGCATATAAAGATCGTTATACAATGAAATAGCGATTTCGGCTGGGATGCACCGGCTGCACATTTCGGGTGTCGGTGCAACTAGTGTGTTCGACTGGTTGAATGGTGCAATTCCTTGCCAGTGTCGCATATTCGTCTGGGCTCGGTATATCGTACAAGTATACACAAAGTGGCCCCGATAAATTTGTTGGAACCAATTGGTGTAATTGTTGGGCTTGGTACTTTCATGAAACGCTGAAAAACAGCTTGTGGGTGATTATGTGGTATTAATTTTGTCGCTAGTGTCTGATTTTGGGTGCGGTTCACTTGATGCTACAAACACTTCGAAACGCTTTTATTTGACCAAATGGAAGAAAGAATTTTATCTGACCAATCAAAAAATGCTACGAAATATTCGTAGCAGCAAGTGAACTGTAGCCAGGCATAGCTTTCATTTGAAAATTGACATCCAATCACCTATAGCCAATTTTAATTTTATGAGTGATTTATATGTATTCATGGAATTTTTGATCATCGTCATCAAGTGACGATGACGAATTAATATTGACAGAACATAAAAAAAGGCAGAGCGAAAATAAAAAATTACATTGAAGAAGTCGTGCGAAAAATGTACAATGAAACAGTGTACGATGAAACAGTTTTGCAGGTTAAATTAAAACTATAGTAATATAATGTTTAATATTTATGTTTAATATTTAATGTATGTTTTTATTATATATTTACAATATACTTACTCCTACTACTCGAAAAGGAAGCCATCGCAATAAAATCGGGATAAATGTGGCCGTTTGCATTCCAAAAAAGCACAAAGAAGGAAAAGAAGAAAATAAGAGAGCCTCACAGGGAGAGAGTGACAAACTGCATAATGTAATTTCCTCCTTTGATTGGGTATGGGCATCAAAGTTCCAAAGGCATGGAAGAGATTGGAGAAAACTAGTCATCACCCCGTGATGTCTTGATTGGATGTGATGCAATTTGTCACTCTCTCCCTGTGAAGCTTTCTAGTGAAGAAACTCTGTCACCTCAAACCGAATAGATTTGTCGAAAATCGTGAATGACAAACAGTCGAAAATGGCAAAACTATTCTTCAAATACTGGACACCTGCAACGCGATCAGTATTATAGAACGTAATAAGGTTTATATTTCATGAATCTCGTGTTCGTTTGACGAAACATACACTGCCGCGGTGATAGGTATTAACAGTGCACGTTGGTGTTTCCAGCCGAAATCGCTATTAGTTCGTATAATCGTGCTACATTCACAAACTGTGGATCAGAAATATTCATCTTACATGCGCGTGATTTATTTCACTTATGTCCACTTTCACCATAGTAGATTAATTTTAATCTCGGTTCAATTTAGTCTTCGTCTTTTTCTGGTTCTAAAGAGAATTAGAAAAAGAGGAAGAGTAAGTTAAACCGAGATTAAAGTTAATCTACATTGGTGGAAACGGACATTAATTTTTCTAGTTTTAAAAATCAGAAAAAAACAGAACCCAGCAAACGAGAATGGATTAAAATGGATTGAAATTTTTTCTATCCGAATGCATATTTTAAATAGCAAATACTCTTTTTTGGATTTAATTGAATTCAATTGGATTCAATTAGGTGCAATTGGATTGAAAAACTGCATTTCCTATTCAAAATTTTGAATTGAACAGTATTCACAATGCACTGAAAAAGCTAATATTATTTTTAGATTGAAAGGTATAGAGATATGCTCCATGCAATTCCTACAAATGAATAAAAATGCATTCAAAATTGAAAAGCATCCATTTTAACATTCGTGAATCAATATTTTTGAAAAACTGAATCCATTTCAATTCATTTCAATCCATTCTCATTTGCTGAGAATTTAGCAAAAACGAATTATAGAGGCCTTCCGTCAACTTTATCGGCGGTCCTCTTTTCTTTGTAATACGCCATAAAACAAACAAAGTACTAATAAATTTAGTAGCCCGTTATTGTAGCCCAACAAACGAGAATGTAAATGAATTGAAATGGATTCTGATTTTCAGAAATATTGATTCACGAATATTAAAATGAATACTTTTCAATTCTGAATGCATTTTTATTCATTTATAGGAATTGCATGCAGCATATCTCTATGCCTTTCAATCTAAAAATAATATTAGCTTTTTCTATGCATTGTGAATACTGTTCAATTCAAAATTTTGAATAGGAAATGCAGTTTCTCAATCCAATTGCATCCAATTGAATCTAATTTAATCCAATCGAGTTATATCCAAAAAAAGATATTCGCTATTTAAAATACGCATTCGAATGAAAAATAAAAAAAAAATTTCAGTCCATTTTAATTCATTCTCGTTTGCTGGGAGGTAAGTATATCTTTAATTTATTTTTTTTGTTTTTATATCTAATTATTTTATTGTATTTCGCTAATTGCAATAATTTTTTAAATATTATTCTTTATTGTATTATCCTTTATAAAATTCGAATTATAATAATTATTTACAATATAATATACAATTATCAATGCTGTTCAAAATGTAATAAAAATGATAACATAAGAATATAATTAACAAATTTTTTTAATGCGGGATTATATGAAAACATCGAAAATACATACGATAACAATGAAATATTGATAAATGCAGAAGAAATACTAATAACAATTAGACCGTATTTATTATAAATTATTTACAATTAATTAAATATTTACTAATAATTTGCGAATATAAAATTTAATAATATTGCGACAAAAAAATCATTAATATATTTATAACAGCACTTTCATCGC